CGAAAAAAAACAAAAAAAACAAAAAAAAAAAAAAAAAAAAAGAAAGAATGGGGTTATGTTTCTGGAGCCTCTTAAGTTATTGCTGCTCAGAAAGTTAATTTTAATTGTTTTAAGTTGTATAAAAAAACAGGTTGACTTGGACTGACAAAGTTTCATTATAAAACATGTGAGATCAAAAACAATCAGTTTCAGTACTTCTTAAACTTGCCCCACATTATTTCTGTAGTATGCAAAGTACTGTATTTTGAGATGGATTGTTCAAAATCTCATGTCTTGAGATGAAGTACTGCAATGCACTCTTAGGCTTCATATATGGGCATGATTACTTCTGCACTTTACAGACATCGAAGAAAATAAATAAATTATGGGATATTCAGCAATCTTCAAACTCTTTTTAAAGGGAAGGGCAAAACTCTGTGCCCGCATTGAGGGTTTGCTTTAGTCCTAAGTGTTTATCCACGTCCTAAGGCCGCTTGACCTTCCTGCATTGACAAGAGTCAGGAGACCGACTTGCTTGGCTAACTTGCTATGGACACCCCGCAGCGTATGTCAGTGTGCACTGGTATCTGGAGCCTCGGTTTTTTCCATCAATGAGCAACAGTGGCATTTTCCTGAAGTAGTCAATAATATCTGATACAGACAGAAAGTCCTGGAAAAGTCAAATAGGAAGATGAGTTATAACGTTGGAATGGACAATGCACATTTCATAATTATGTGGTTTTTTTTTTTTCAATTCGAATCAGTTTGGGAAAATTGTGGGAAAAATAACATTTGTCAAGTACTTTAGAGATTTTCTCATAGTCAACAAATTTTAAGAGATAACAATGTTAGGTTGGGCCAGCAAGATGACTCAGTAGTTAGAGGCCTGACGACCTGTAGTCAATCCCCAGGAACCACATGGAGGGAGGAAAGAACTTAATGCCTACGAGTTGTCCTCTGATCTCCACACATGTGCCATGGTGCACACAAAAATACAAGTTTTTTTTTTTTGTTTTGTTTTTTTACCTAAAACCTTTTAACCTCTGTAGTGACTCACCCATGGCTTGGTATTGGTCTCTGGTTTTCATTTATGCTTGGGTTTGTATATCCCCACATCTCTACAATCCAAACTCTTAGGAGGTCTAAGGAACCAGGAGGTCAGATGGGGGTCATTTCTGGAAGTGAAGCTTTAGCATTTACCGTTCCTTCCCTCTCACCTCCACACTCACAATGTGGGCTCAGTAGCCAAATCTTTGCATCTATAACCTAGAGCATTCAGTACAGTCGGTCCCCCTCATCCCTCTAGATGTGACCAGAAGTTAAATTCTACCTAAACTGGATCGTGTAGTTGTTCCAAGACAAACTGTCCAGATACCTCCCTCTAAGGAAACATGTATTTTCATGTCAGACCAAGAGAAATCTTGGGAGGTGATATTCTGCCTTTGGTGATATTCTGCTTTGTCGACAGGGAACAGATGGCCTAAATGAGCAAAATCATGTTCTTTACTCAGCATTGTCATTGATTTAAAGTATTTGTATTAAAATTATTAGTGAATTGTTCTCATTCTGTTAATGTTTCATTCAGCTGGTTTTCTTTGTGTATGCAAAAGTAGCCTAATGGTTGTTTTCACATCAAAGAGTTGACTTGTCCAGACAGGAAAATTTCTTTGGTAATATGGCCATCTTCACAGAGGCAAATGTCTCAGTTAGCAATAAATGCCCCAAGCATCCCAATAATCACTGTAGCAATAATTCTAGGTTTCTCTGCTTTCTTATATGGGATTTCAAATTAAATTTTTTTGTTTTTTATTGATGTGTATATGTGTGCCTGCTTGTCTGTATGTGTACCATGTGCATGCAGGTACCCATGGAGGCCAGAAGAGGGCATCAGAGCCCCTGGAACTGGAGTTACAGGAGGTTGTGAGCCACCCAATGTGTATCCTGGGAATAGAAAGAACCCCCCCCCCAGTCCTCTGCAAAAGTAGCAAGTACTCAATTTTTAAGCTATCTCCCCAGCCCCTCTGATGGTATTTTAAATAAAGTTTTATAGGCAAACCATAGTCTTACCTTGAAATTATATCAAAAGAAATCAAAATAGATGATACTGCCTTTGACACTTTAAAAAATGTATTTTTAATTAATTAATTAATTAATTAATTTTAAAAGTTACACTTCAGGACCAGAAACAGAGCTCTGTGTTAGCACCTGACTGATGTGTACAAGACCCCAGGTTCAGTCCCAAGCACCACAGTGGGTTATGTCTATGATATTGGATTATTTAGAATGAAAATACAAGAAGACCCCTCTAGTGGAGTAAATAACTCAGAGTATTTGTCTTCTTTCCTTCATTAAGTGGAGAGCTTCAGTAAAGTTGTTTAACAGTATCGTTGTTATACTGCATGTGATTGCACAGCATTATTGCTATACACCATGTGTTTTAACTGCATCATTGCTATACACCATGTGATTTAACTGCATGGTTGCTAGACAGCATGCAATTTAACTGCATAGTTGCTATATATCATGTGATTTAACTGCATGGTTGCTATACAGCATAAAATTGGGGAAAGAGTGAAGCATGAAGTCCTTACCTCTTTTCCTCGAAGTCCAGTCCCCAACAAGTATACTTGACTTTCCTCCTGGTAACGGATCTGAATGTTGTAAACTTTGTCTTTGTACAACACCATGAGAACATACGGATTGTTTACTGTTTTCTTAGAACTATCTCTAACCAGGAAAGTGCCATCCTAGAAGAATAGGTGCTTGTTGTTAATGGGAGCAGTGAAAGTCAGTCCTTGTTGCTTGTAAGAGACAAGCCTCTAGGGGTCTACAAAGCTGTCACTTGTCAATTGACATTGAGTTCTCCCCACAGCTGGGGACCCCAGGTACCCTGGATCTTTTGATTATTAAGAAAGACAACTGAGATTGCATCTGAAGTCTTCCAAGTTAACATATTTGGAGCTTTTTGTTGTTTGTTTTTGTTTTTGTCTGTGGAGACAGTGTTTCTCTGTGTAGCCCTGGCTGGCCTTGAACTCACAGAGATCTACCTGCCTCTGACTCCCGAGTGCTAGCATTAAAGGCATGTGTCACTACCACCCTGCTTTTGAAGCTTCTTAGTATCAATTTTTTTCAGTAATAAAAACAATCAGTAGGTGAGTAAAGAGCCATAAGACATAAGGTGGCTCACTTACTATATACCTGTTCATATCTGTTAATTGTCTAAACTTCCCTTTGTATATCTTTACTCAGAATACACTTTTTGCCTGTGAAGTGCACCCTCCTTTACCCTACACATTTGTTGTATTTAGTTTTCACCCATTTCTCACCTGAACAAAAGAGAATGTGGACTTTCTGTATTCTTGTCACCCTTTTCCCCAATACTTTATAAAATGTGATTTGTCCTGTACTTTAAATTATCATACAAGAATTATTGCAATGTAATAAGACATGACAAAGATCTAATATTAAAATAGAGCTAATTAGTAAAACTAATGTAAATCACTCTCTCCTCTATGTACTTAATTAGAATGGTTTTTAAATAGCCATCAATATGCAATAACGATGTTCCTTTGTTCCTTTTATTTGTACTTAATTGACCCAGTCAGAACATATCTGCTAAAGAAACCTCTCTGGACCAGTGAGTCACAGGCTTGGCTTGAATTCAGAGTCACCTGGGGAGTCTGAAGATTCCTTCAGCCCACCTTGCACTGCCACTTATTAAAACAATCTCCCCAAAACTCACAAACCTGGATTAAAAAACAAACAGAAACCCCAGATGACCAAATCTGCTGCTGAGACTGAAAATGGCTGCTGTAGCCTTTACAGTGTGAAAGATGAAGGGTCGTTCTCCATCTCTGGTCAAGGGACTCAGGGCTAGGGGTCAGTACTGGACCTGGGTTAAGACTATAGCATTAAGATTTCTAGAAATTTCTAGAAGACTTTGAAGATATGCCTTCAACATGGGTCTTTCCCGTGAATTTGAATGGTGACAGAGTGTTAGGAGGAAGATGAACTAGTAAGATGTCTGAAATGCATGATTCCTTTGACCAAAAAGAGACACATTCATTAACGAAACGGCCTAATATTTGCCAACTGACGTATAGTGATGGCTTGGAGGTAACAGTCTATGGATGCTAGTGGGTAGGATGGTAGTACTAATGGCTCTTAAAGGAACAGCACCTAGCAGCAGGAACAGCAGCTAGCTCATACTTGAGTCCCAGTGCATATCTATACCCTTTCCCTTCTCCGCTAACATTTATAACTGCATAAAAATAAACTGTAGAATGATACCTGGTTTATCTTCCTAAGAGCAGCTTCTGCCTCTGGTCGGGTAATATATGAGGCGTACCACTCTTCATCTAGTGAAGTCTGCAAATAAATTTTAAAAAGCACTGTAAGTTCTGTAGTTACATAAGCAAAGTGAAAAAAATGAAAAGGAAAAAAAAACCTAATATTTCCCATAAATCACCACCTCAATTCTCTCGGCTTTGAAACATTTGTTTTCTTGACTTGAATCACTTAGATGGGGCTACATGGAAGGCATTTTGTGCAAACTGCTTCCTTATCATTTCACTGACTGCAAAAGGAAGGAGCCTCCCTTATATAATGGAAACTTTCATCTGGAAAGACAGAGATAGACGAACTTCTTCTGCTTATTATATAGTAGTAACATACTTAATGAAAAATTTGTTTTAATGGAACAACTAGGAGACTTGCTTGTTCAAGGCTATAAACCAGGAAATAGATGAAAGAAATGGGATTATTTTTCTCATTTCCTAATGCCCCTGGAAGACTGTGAAAGAACACTAAAGAAAACATTAGTTTTCATCTACATCTTCCCCTCAGTTTTTGGTTTATTTATTTTGGTACTGTCAATCTAGGGAAGGGCTTCACCCAATGCTAGGCAAAGGTTTGACCACTGAGCTACACAGCTGTGCTCTTAATTAAGTGCAATAAACAAAACTAACAGAAGACACAAATACAGCAGAGGGGTTGATGAGCTTTTCTTATGGTCCTTTGCTAGGGAGAATCCGGTCCCTTGGCTAGGGAGAAAGGCAAGAAATTAGAAACAGCTGTATTACCTCTTCATCCCCAGGAGATGGAGGCTGTGGCCTGTTTGGAACTGGCAAGGGTAAGTTTCTACCTTCATTTCTGAGAGGTGGTCTGTTGTTGAGACCTTTCAAAGCAAAATATTTTGGAAATTAATTTATTGTAGGTCATTGTTTTCTCATCTCATAGCACATCCATCACAGATGTTCCCATGGCAGTGGGGGCATTCATCTTTTCAAGGATATGAGGTTATAGGGAGCCTGCATGGGACTGACCTAGGCCCTCTGCATATGTTACAGTTGTGTGGGTTGGCCCTCTTGTGGGACTCCTAACAGCAGGAGCAGGGGCTGGCTCTGACTCTTTTACTGGTTTTTGGGACTCTCTTCCTCATATTAGGTCTTCTAGCCTTAATACATGGGAAGATGCTTAGTCTTACTGCAACTTGATATGCTGTGTTTTGTTGATATCCATTGGAAACCTGTCCTTTCCTAAACAGAAGTAGAGGAAGAATGGATTGGGGTGGGGTGGGGGGACAAAGGGACAGGGTGGGGGAGGGGCTGGGAGGAGAGGAGGGAGGGGAAACCAGCCAAGATGTAAAATAAGTAAATTAATTAATTTTTAAAAAGAGAATATGAGGTTGGACAAATAATTTCTTCCTCTTTCAAACCATGAGGGCTCTTTGGGCTGTGTTCCATACCATGCCAGTGGAACTTTGAGAAAAGACCCCGACATTTCAGTAAACCCCTAAACATGCATACAACATAGTGTGGCCTCATCTATAAAAACAGCCACATTGTTTGGCTATGGGCCTCAATAAGAACATGCAAAAAGCAGACCTTTCATAGATGCCTGCCATCACAGCACATGTGGACCAACAATGTGCGAGCACACATAGCAGCAGTGAGGAGACATTATGCCCTCGGTGTCTTCCCAGAGCAAGAGGGAAGGCCTGGAGAAGAGTGTTGTTTTAGAGCCACTGTTGGCTGTGGTTTTTCAGTTTGTTTTGATTTTGCAGTCCCCCAAGATGGAGAACTGTTGGACTAGAGGGTGCCATCAATTGCTCACTTGCTTTAAAAATCATCCCAGTGCAGTCCTGTCTCACAGACCTTTGCTAGAACTAGACCAATAGCATCAATGTCCGGTGGGAACTTGCTAGAAATGCAAAGTCTCGGGTGACACCCAGCCCTTCTGAATTAGATCCACTTTGACATGATTCCCAAGCGTCTGTTCATACACTGAACATTGAGAACACTTACAGCAGACACTCAGTGGCAGCATCATTGGAAAAGGAAAGCCTCTGGACTCTCCCACTAAATCAGAAACTTTTGTTGTTTTTCTGAGGCATGAGCTCATGTAGCCCAGGGTGGCTGCAAACTTGCTCTTTAGCTTATTAAGATGATCTTACACTTTATTTAGTCTTAGACTCTTAATCCACCTCCCATGGTGGAGATTACAAATTGAGCCACCATATCTGGTTTGATTCAGAATCTCTGGGGCTGGGTTCTTGTAATCTGTATTCTGAATATGCTTCCCAATTCACAACCTGAGAGCAGATTCATTGCTGAGACAAGGAAGCGAAGCACTGCTCTGAGCTCTTTATCAAACCATCAGGGACATAGCACTAGGTGGGAAGATGAGGGATTAAGGCTTGCCTGCTGGTGGCGAGAGAGAGAGAGAGAGAGAGAGAGAGAGAGAGAGAGAGAGAGAGAGAGAGAGAGAGAGATTGATTTTATGTAGTGTCTCATTCCAACAGCCCTTGGTACCTTGTAGACATTAAATTGTTAAATGAAGAAGTCATATACTTTTAGGGAAAAGCCTTCGCCTAAAGGCTTTGAGACACATTATACTGTAACCATATGGACATGTTGGTAGGCAGAGATCGTAAACATGTACAAACCTTGAGAGAAGTATGGAGGCAGGGAGGCACTCTGCTGGAAGCCAATGTTACTGTAGAAACAGAAAAAGAACAAGCTTTAAGCTGGTTTGGCATGATGGGACCTGACTGGGGAGCTGGGTTGAAGACTGTAGATGCTTCTTGCTTTGTTATTGCTGTCCACCACACCTCCCTGGCATCATGGAAGAGGGAAGGGGGAAACTTATTTGATGTACTTTACTGATGTCCCAAGATGGACAAAGTCTAACAAGTTTCACAAACCAAAGGCAAACAACAATAAAAATAAAGCTCATAAACTAAATTTAAAAGTCACTTTTAAAATGGGGCTGTGGTTTGAGGTCTTTGAGTCTATAGAATGGCTAAGAAGGAAGACACACTAATCAGTGTGCATGCAAACAGTAAAATGCCAGGAGCTACTGGTCTGCAAGAAGAGGGTGGGGAGAGGGGGGAGAAAGTTCTGGGTGCTTCTGCATTGCATCTGAGATACATTTGCAGGCTGGGATGGGAAAGGAAATCTGTGGAGGCCCTGGGATGCTATCTGTTCCCTCTATGCTATGATGCACTAACACCAGCCATTAGCCCACATAGTAAATGTCTGCTCTGCACACTTGATCTTCTTGGCATTTTTCAAGAACAAAAGATGTATTAGAGCCATGTGTGAGATAATGCGCCCAATTGGACATAGCAGTAGAGAAAACCGGCTGGAGGAATGAACAGAAAGAAGGCATGAAGACCTCGGGGCAAAGGGAAGGCTTAAGAATTTCCCCCAGAGAGTTGGCAGAGGTGGATGGGCTGTGTTGGTGGTTCCATTTTCCACAGTATGTAGGGTGAGAAGTTGGGCTTCTTTTGAGTACTAAAGGGTTGGTGGACCAGCAGGCCAGAGGCCCTGGAGAGCAGCTTGAGGCAGTCCATTGGCTTGCCTGTGCAGGGATGATCTAGGTCTTGTTTGGTTCTCCTGGCCATGCCTTTGTTTCTGCATGGTCTTATTATGCCTGAGAAATTCTAGTTTTAGAGAAAACAATCCTTTTGAGGACAGCTCATGAGCATGGGTGCTTGGCCCCTGTCATGTGCAGGGCACATTCTCTGTTTCGCCATCCAAGATGAAAGAGAGACTCCAAGAACTTCAGTTAACTGTGTTTCTTAATGATGTTTGTTTGTTTGAAATTAGCAAGTGAAAACACCCACCATTTTCTGTCAACATGTCCATAGCTCGGGACAATCTTGAGACAAGTCAGCCTTCACTCCCCTCAAGCTCAGAAACTCTGAGAACAACTGGGCTTTCAGGTTGTCCTCCAAGCTCATTTCCCTTGTGAGGAAAGACAGTTCTGCCCAATGGCTCATTTCTTTCTTGCTCAAGCTACCCGGCATTTACCACAATGCTAAGCTGAACTGGTTAGTTGTAACTGTTAAATGTGACCCAGCCTAAGATCTCCTGGGAAGACAGTTTCAACTGAGGAATTATCTAGATCACATTGGCCTGTGGGTGGATCTGTGGGGAATTGTCTTGATGGTTACTTGGGGTAGGAGGATCCAGCCCACCGGAAGTACACTATTTCATGGGCTAGGATCTGAACTGTATATGAATGAAGAAAGCCAGCCAGGGAAAAAGCAGGCAGATAGCATGGATGCATTCATTTCTCCATCTCTGGCCTGTGGATATGATGTGACTAGCTTCTTGAGTTCCCGCCTCAGCTTTCCTGCAGTGTTGGACTAGAACCTTAGGTTGTAAAAGAAAACAAACCCTTTCTCTGCTATGTTGCTTTTTGTCAGAGAATTTGTCAAAGCGACAGACATGAAGCTAGAACACAAGCCCCAGACATTATGCTTAGTTAGAACTGAGGGACTCAGCCACCGACCTTTCTGAGAAGGCTCCCGGCCCGTGAGACAATGGGAATGTGTGCTTGGGGCTGGGCTTAGCAGATCTTGAAGGGAATGTGTTGGAGCTCATAGAAGGTAGTGATGGCTGGGGCAAAGGTCTTTGATGCACTGTGGGGGAAGAAGAGAAGAATGAATAGTCAGAATTCAAATCTGGGGACATTCAGAGTACCTCCCCAGCTTAAACCAAACCCAAACCCAAAACCAGGTGATATAGAGAGACAGAAATCCAAAAGTTCAGATATAATTAGCAAATGGTAGGAAGATAACCTACCTCATATTTTTTTTTCTAGATAATTCACCATCTTGGAATGCACTCAAAATTGTTGTTCTCTATAGTAGATTTTTCATTTTACTTTTAAACTACTTACTTGGCAGAAAATTGTTAATGGGAAACTTGTGAATTTCAAAGATGATTTATAATTTTTATTTTGTCATTTGCAAGCCAAAATCACATGCTATTTTGTTTATCCACAGTTACTGATTCTGTACCCATGTATGTAAGAGGGTATAAATATTAAAAACTTTTCTATCAAGACATATATGCAATTTTCTGCACAGTTGGGTGCTCTGAACACATGAACCTAAGTTTCCCTTGGTAAACCAACCAAGTGATTCCATTTTACTACAGCCATGAGGTGTAATTGATATATGTCTGTTTATTTTGATTTGACATGTAGGGTTCCATACTCAATAATTCTATTTAAATGGCTGATCAGAAAAAATGAGAGAATAGAAGTTTTAATAAATGATAATAGATTATAAAAAGATATCTAGACATACCATCATCTTCATCCTATAAGGGAAAAATAGTAAGAGATATTAACTTATCATCAAAGTGGCATCCATCAACACTAACCCTCTCTTTTGTGAGCTGTGGAGGTTTTCAAAGGAGAAGAGGCAGGTTGGAAACTTTTGTGTGAGACTTAGACTCTGCAGCATCTTCCTGACCCCTTCCTCCATTCCTGACCCCCAGTCTCCTTGCTATTACCCTTGGGAATGAGACTGCCAAGAAGCCAGCTACCCAGGACCTCTCAGGGGGACAGGAGCAAGGCTATTCAGCCTGAGGAGCTCAGCAAAGCTGCAGACACTGGTATTTAACAGACTCTTTGGAGGTCTTGCTCTCATTACCTGACTTCAGATGAGAGCAGGGCAGATGGAGTCTCTCCTCCCCAGACCCTACACTGGTAGCCTCTGTGCCAAGCATTTATTAAATGACATTTCACACTTACAGTCTCTCTTCTGTCTGGTCCCCGTCCATGCCTGAAATGAATTAGATCACAGAAGTGAGCATCAAGAGTTTCAAAGAGCCA